AACAACAGCAACTTCCCCAACAACAACAACAACAACAACAACAACAACAACAACAACAACAACAACAACAACAGCAACAGCAACAGCAACAGCAACAGCAATAACAACAACAACCTGAACAGCAGCAACAACAACAACAACAACAACAACAGCCGAGCAAGCAAGATGGTATGTCTATTGATCACATAGTTTACATACTCTATCACAGGATGGTAGAGTGCAATAGTAGACATTTTGAAGCCATCAACAAGAGGCTAGACTCGCTAGACGTATCTGTTAGAGAAATTAAGGACAATATAGCATGTCTAGCGAAACAACAATTACAGCCAAAGCCAGTGCCTGAGGAAGAACTTGACCCAGAGGTTCAGCTTGAGCCTGAGGCAGAACTTGAGCCTCAGGTCCAGCCAGAGCCTGAGGATCAGCTTGAGCAGGTTCATTCAGAGCCAGAGTCTGAATCGAAGAATGAAAAGTGACTTAAGAGGCCCAGCAAGTATATTGAGTCGCCTTACACAGATCCCCTGCGTAACGTGAAGAAGAAGATGTGGACCTTTAACGATGCTGTCGAGGCCTTCAACAAGTGGTTCGCTGATTCTAGTACGGACTTTGAGCTGATTGAGTACGGTTTTAGAGATTGGAGGAAGGACTTCTTCCAGATCATCTTGAAGCCAGGTGAATGGCTGTTCAATGATGTAAATAATCACAACATATTTACTAAATTTATAGTCTTATTTTTTATACCATTATCATTATATTGAATTAATTTTTTATGACTTATAGCAAATTGACGAGGCATGGGGTCTTCTATCGATTAGGAGGTCAAGGGCACCTGAAGGGCAGTTCAATAACAATGTTGTCATCCTAGATGATATATTTTGCCAAAAGTTGAGAGCGCGATTCTACATCAATAAAAAGAAATTGGCAACATATACGTTTGACAACGACCTAGATGAATATGTCTGTGGACAAAAGCGCATAATTGGCCATAAATGAGATGGCGCGCAGGGCTTCACTATGCCTTTTAACATTGGGAGGAAGCATTGGGTTACGCTTTATGTTGATTTATCTGAATTCAACATAAAGGTGTATGACTCAGTTGTTATGATGTACAGAGATCAACAGATGCAAAGACAAGTGGAGCCAATCGCTGTCATGATGCCCAAGTTCTTGAAGTACACAGGTTTATTCAACCATCTAGGCGATAAACTT